AAGTTAAGATCTTTAGTCCCGGTTGGTGTTAGATCCCGGGGGGGCCTGACAGGTCCTGACAGCATTCGAACCGGGACTAAAGATGATCTTTAGTCCCGGTTGGTAACACAAACCGGGACTAAAGATCAAATATGCCCGTTACCCTTTTGAACCGGGACTAAAGATCATCTTTAGCCCCGGTTTTTATTGCATCCGGGACTATTGTGGAAATCAGTCGACCGATGAAAGATGGTTTCTCCACCAGTGTTGGTGGTAAAGATCCACGGTCAGTTTATGAAATTTGGAATAAATTTGGAGCAATAATAATAAACAACCCACCTCCTGCAAAGGAGATGATAATGGGTCTAACTAAAATTTCCACGCCATCCAGAATAGAACAACTGCCGTGCCAAAAACATAACGGAGCACTTTTAACGAAATAAGAAATGAAATAACGAAACAATGTAGAAAAGACAAAGGCAAAAATGTACGGGACAATTTCGTTCTTGCCCCTATTTTGATGTTCAATATTGATTTTGCCCTTATTTTTTAGGTTTTTGTTTTTACCTCTACTTTTTTTTTTGAAATGAATCAACCGTTTGCCCCTATTCAATTCTTGTTAACGGTGTTAAATGTGGGTGTAAAAAGACAAATATACCCTTAGATATATTCCGGTACTTTTGACATAATCAAAATAAAAATCTATTGATGCCATACTATAGCAATAATTTAATTGTCCAAATTTTGTTAAAGTTTACCAAAATTTGGGTCAAAATTGAAAGTAGTGTACAAAAGTACTGGAAAATATCTAAGAGTATACTTGTCTTTTTTACCTCACATTTAACACCGTTAGCAATAATTAATGGACTATGTGAAAACGGTGGTTTCATTTCAAAAATGTAGGGGCAAAAACGAAAACCCTAAAAAGTAGGGGCAAAATCAGTATTGAACATGGAAATAGGGGTAATAACGAAATTGCCCCAAAATGTATCTATGGTTTATTAAAAAAGGAATATCGCCTGTTACAGAAAAGAAAAAAAAAGACCGTTAAAACAAATCAGGGATTCCGGGCGGCTAAAAGTAGAAGCTTGAATAAACATGAGCCTCAGAAAAGAGAGAAAGGATGAAAACCGCCTAAGCAAAAAGGAAAAAAAAAGACTGATCAGACCATAATCTCGCGATCGATCGCCATTAGTCTATTGATCACAAACAATTATACTATGTATGAATTACTATTGGACCTTCTTATGCGTTCAAAAAAATAAGCTGTAAATCTGCAATACGTACGTACATGTAAATTTTTTGCAACAACATTCTCCGGTGAATTTGCGGTGGGCTCCTGCAGAGATTTCTCTGGGCCGTAAGGTAGTGTGAGGCTTTATTTGAAGATGTGGCCCTTCCAAATAGATGTCTTGGAGTCCAACATAACTGGTAAATGTCCCTGGCCCAAACCTAACACCCATAGCAGGCCGAAAGCTGAACTTCCAAACGGGCCCTTAATCTATATGATCCATACGAGTAATTGTCAAAGACTCAAAAACCGAGTCAACTTTATACGGACTAAAAATATCAAATTAATTAGTTGTAGTTTGTATCTAGAGGACATAATTACCATCTTCAAAAAAGTTTATAATTGTGTGTTCATGCAACGTATAGCGCGTTTTGACACAGGATTTTTCACACGATAGTGGACTATAAAAGTCCCAGGTTATTACAAGAAGTGTTTTATGCTCAAATAACTTGGAGACTTTCTGCTTGACGAATCCTCAAGTCGTCAGGAAATTTTCGTTGCTCGCAATTCGTAGAAACTCTCTCTCTGCAAGAAAAAGAAAAGGACTACAAGTTGCTCTTGATAGATCTCCTGACGAATATATATATCTCCAAGGCTCCAAGCACGTTACGTCTTGTGCCATCGATAAGATAAAAAACCTACTACCTCATATTTTTTAATATATGACGTCATTAACTTTTTTTTTCGACGTTTGACCATTCGTATTTAAAAAAGTTTATGTAATTATCATTTATTTTAATGTGACTTGATTTATTATCAAATATTTTTTAAACATAACATAAATATTTTTATATTTACACAAAAATTTTGAATAAAACAATGGTCAAATATTAGTCGAAAAGTCAACGGAGTCATACATTAAAATACGGAGAGAGTATCACTAAAGTTTAATATTGTTGTGCATATGCTTAATCATGCACGAGTCCATGAATTCATCAAGCCGACAAATTAAACAAGTCCCAGGTTATTACAAAATCCTCCATCTATACACAACTCCACTATATAAACTGGTGGAAAAAGTACACCGAAGGTCCCTCAACTTATCATCGAGTTACAAAATCGTCCTCAAACCGCAAAACCAGATATCCCGTGTCTCTTAACTAATTAAAACTGGTCATAATAGATTCCTTGACGGTTTTGATCTCGGTTTTATCCTACGTGACGACTGAGTCAGCATGGAACCCACATAGCCCCACATGTCATGATGCCATGTCAGCAGGCCGACCTCTCCCTTCCTTTCCTTCTCTCTCTCACTCAACTACTGGGCAGGCCTGCCGGCGGAGGGGATGAGGTCGTCGGCGTCGGCAGGGCGAGGTGGCGTCGTGGAGGGCGAGGAGGCTCCCGAACCCTAACCCTAACCCCCTCCTTCTCCTTCAGGTTCGTGGAGGGAAGCGTGTGCAGCATCTAGCCGCGCCCCCGTCGCACCAGCTGCGCTGCTCCGGGGTCCTCGTCCCCTCCCCGCCACCGATGCATCAGGTCAGTAATTGCCCGTGTCCCTCTCTCCTGTTTTTTGCCCAAGCTGCGCTTGATATTTGAGTTGGTTTGGTTTGGTGTGGAGCGGTGTGGTGTGGTTTGATTCGGGAGTGGAATTGAACGGATCACCTGATGGAATTCCGTGCGTGATTGGATTGTCGCAAGCTGCTGAGGTGGATTTTTTCCTGAACTTGTTAGCTGAAATGGAGGGGAATTGGGGAGATTAGGTTGCGTGATTGATCGAATTTTCCATCCTGCTCGCGTGATTAGTCCCAGATTCCAAATTTCCAGTTGTTTTATCACTTCATTTCCACGAAATTTCACCCATAATCTGTTCCTTCATCCTACGCATGACCTATATTTAATGCATTTTTACGAATTAGCATCTGATTTGGGACTAATCAGAGAAAAAACTGCACTGATGCAGGTATGCTACCCGGTCCCCTTCTCCCAACTCCGCCGCCACTGCCACCGGAGCTCGTAGTGTATCCCTCTGTGCCAGGCCTGCCGCCTTCAGCCACGCCGCCGCCGTCGTCGTCCATAGGCTCCAGCATTGCCATTGTCGTCCTTGTCGTCATTACCACGACCATCATGATCGTCTCCATTGTTGTCATTCGATGCAGCTACCGCCGCGGGTTGATCCACGGGTCGTCGTCGACACCGGTGGTCGCCGGGCACACGACGCTCCACATCTTCACCACATTCTCCGCCATCGCCGGGTCCCAGTCCTCGGGGTGGTCGGTGAGCCAGGCCGTTGACTTTGCCGCCGTGGGGGAGCCTCTCGGAGCCGGCGCGCATGGCCATGTTGGAAATAAGAGAGGTAATGAGGTGGCATCCTGGTATGTGGGGCTCACGTGAGTCCCACGCTGACTCAGCCGCCACGTAGGATAAAACCAGGATCAAAACCACCGAGAGACCTATTGTGACCGGTTTTGATTAGTTAAGAGATGCGAGATATCTGGTTTTGCGGTTTTGCGGTTTGAGGACGATTTTGTAACTCGATGACAAGTTGAGGGACCTTCGGTGTACCTTCCTAAACTGGTAGCCACCTTAGGGAATAGTACACGCAAGGTCCCTCAACTTGTTAGCCACATACAAAATTGTCCCTCAACCGCAGAACCGGACATCCGGCGTCCCCCAACTTACAAAACTGGTCACAAAAGGTCCCTCGGCGGTTTTGACCCCGATTTTGTCCCACGTGGTGGCTGACTCAGCGTGGGACCCACGTGAGCCCCACATGTCAGTAAGCCATGTCATCACCTCTCCGCTCGCCGGCCTCCCCGCGCTTCCGCTGCCCCGCGTGTGGCTCCAGCTCGGCTGCCGCGGTTGCCCGCCGCTCCTCCTCGTCGGCGAGCACGGAGAGGAAGCTGACACCGCCGCCTTGCTCCTCTCACCGCCGCCACCGCCGCCTTGCTCCCCTGAGCCAACGCCGACGCATTCGTCCCGTCTCGACTCCGACGCTGGCCTCCCCGTGCCTCCCCGCTGTCGTCACCGTGTTCCTCCCGCCTCGCCGCCGGATTTGGACTTGGGAGGAGCACACCGGCCTCCCCGCGCCTCCGCCGGCCTCCACTGCTGCTCCTCCTCTCCGCCGCTTCTTCCCCGTCGGTCGCGCCGACCCTCTTCTCCACCGCGTCGGTGACGCCGCCGCCGCCGCCACCGCATCGGCCCTCCTCTCCGCGTCAGTTATGATGGCCACAGCCGCGCGCCGCCATCGCCGACCGCACGAGGGGGACGGGGAGGCCGGCGAACTCGCACCGCCCTGAGCCCGCGCGCCGCCACCCGGGAGCCGCCGTTGCCGGCTGCACCACCTTTCGGCCGCGCGCACCGCCGCCTGTGCGAGAGCAGAGAGCGAGAGGAAGGAGAGAAATAGAGAAAGAGAGATAGGGTGCTGACGTGGCTTACTGACATGTGGGGTCCACGTGGGTCCCACGCTGAGTCAGCTGCCACGTGGGACAAAATCAGGGTGAAAACCGCCGAGGGACCTATTGTGACCGGTTTTGTAAGTTGGGGGACGCCGGATGTCCGGTTTTGCGGTTGAGGGACGATTTTGTATCTGGCTAACAAGTTGAGGGACCTTGCGTGTACTTTTCCCGCCACCTTACGGCTTCGTTCGGTTTGGGTGTAAACCGGCCTTTTCCCCGGCCCTTTCGGGAAAGCCCACCACGAGGGGAAAGAATTCCTGGGTTGTCAAAAAATGCATTCGGCTTGGCCCGGGAAGGTGGATATCCCGGCCCAATACCCCCAAACCCTAGGGATATTGGTCCACCACCCTGAGCAACACACCGCTGCCTCTTCTCGACTGGAGCGGCGCCCAAGCCGCCGCTGCTCGTCCCGTCGCCCGCCGGCGCGGCACACCGCATCTGCTCGCGCCGGCGCCTCACGTCGCTTCAGCCTCCTCCTCTCGCCACAAATGACGCCGCCTCCTCTCACCGTAGATGCCGCCTCTCGTCAGATCTGACGGAGCTCAACATCGGTGCGGCCTTCTCCGTTCGGTCTCCACCATCCGGCCACTGCGTCTTCCCCATCAAGAACCTCAAGGACCTCGTCATCTTCTACTACCTTGTCTAGGTATGTCAAATTCCATCCTTCTCCTGAATTGATTGGTTTGGTGGTTGGGAAGGTGAACTCTTGGGCTAGATCTGATCGATTATGTTGCGGGATAGTTAATCTTGGGCTAGGTAATCTTGTGCTAATTTTACTTGTGAAATCTCTAGGCATTATCTATCACATCCTGTTCTGATCTCTCTGTTTTTTTTTTCATTATCAATCTGTGCACGGTTAGCTTTTACTTTTCCTTTGAGGTCTATACGCTCAGTATGGATTTAGGATATTAATTTTGTTCATATACATTAATTAGCTCTGTTTTTCAATGCAAACGATTTCCTAAGTTTTGTTTTCTGTGTGTTTTTATTCACATGTTTTATACTCTGCTCCAAAAATGCCATAAATGGATGGTAGCCTGATTTTACTACTCTGTCATTGTTTCCTTTTAATCTCAAGTACTGATTCCTGCAGTTACATACTGTTGAGTTTATCGTTGAGAGAGTCGGTGCTGCTTACAGGTCATAACTCATATACGTAGTTTGTTTTTGTAGGGTATTTTCTGAAATACTCCAGAGATTTATGTATAAAAATGAATTTATTTTGTGACATACTAAGTAGTATATATATAATTTTTGCAGGATATTGAACTGTGCCACCTGCTAAATTTGTTTAGGATACGTATGAAAATCGCCTTTGCTCAGTATGGATTTAGTATATATATTTAGCAGCCATCCTAAACCTTGCTTTTTCATTATCAAAGGAGATTTTACATATTGGTTTGGTGGTTGGGAAGGTGAATTCATTGGTATGGATTTCTGAAAGAACATACATCTGTTCTGGCATGATCTATCACATCCTGCATTATGAGAAAGTGAGCTGCACGCCTGGGCATTAGTGTGTGTTTGGGTTAAGCTGAGTGGCCAATAGTGATCAGCTCCATTATATATATCTGAATCTGATGAGTAGTGAACTAGTGATAGATCACTAGTGTGAGTAGTCAGTGACATACATATGATAGAATCTTAGCTGGGCATGCATATGCTGCTACTGTTGTGCTGTTGTCTGAAGATATGAGTATATATAGTAGCTGTAGTGTGGTGTAGTGCGCGCGAGTGGGGTTTTAATTGGTTAAAGCATGTTGGTTGCTGGTAGCTAGGTGTCAGGTTCTCTCACTAGTTGAGTACATGATTCAGGGCTTTTTCGAAATGCATGATGTTTAAAACATAGGAACAAAAGGAAATACATATAATTAAAATACTCTATGGATTGAAAAAATGAATAACTGTATGAATGATCATTTAAATGGAGCACAGGAAAAAAAAACACAGAAGATTCTTTTTTATGGTGATAAAAAGATATACTCTGCTGTTTATCTTTTTAATGCTTTGTAATCTAATCTACAGAAGTACAGAACAGCCATTACTACCTTTGACATTAACTGCAACCTTCTGTTATCTGTTAATTTTTTGTAGTTTGGTGCTTAGAAGATTCTTTTTTTTTTGTTAACATTTGTTTGCTTGATATCACACTTTTATGTGCTTAGAAGTCATCTCACACATGTCAACAGTTCCTGGAATTAAAATGGGTTCAAGGGCTAATCATTAACATGTCAGCACTTTTATGTGCTTAGAATAACATGTGTTTGTTCAGAGTCATTAGCTGAAATTGGACAGCAAGTATATTCCAGTCAGTTAGCATAGAATCTGATATTGTTCTGAATTTTTCCTTTAATTCTGCAGTTTGGGTGTCTATCAACTGCTTTGACCATTGGATTTGTTAATACAACACGTGTTAATACAACATCAATTCCATCTATACACTCTGAATGTGCTTGTGTTTCTTGCCCACTGACTGCATTAGTGGTGTATATGTTGGGGACCTGCTGAAATTGAGCTCAATTATGAATTCTGAAATTCTGAAATTATGGTTCAGGTTGAGGAGCTGGCTGGCTGACAGAAACATAGTACCATGGTAGAGACTGAATTTAACTGTACTATTTAGTTCTTGTGAACTTTGAAAATTATAGGATCTCTTCTGGAGATTGATATTTTGGATATATGAATTAGCTAGATCGATCAACTTTGTTAAGGTTTTAGCTAGAAAATGACATGTTTGCATTAGTAATAGATAATAACATGTGTTTGTTCAGAGTCATTTGTAGAGCAAGTATATTCTAGGGTCCCATCGTTTGGCTTTTCTTTTAATAAGCCAAAACGGCTTATTAGAGTAAAAATAAATTTGTAGGTAAAATTTTTATATATGTGTTCTCGGTGACTTAAAAGCCAATGCTGAAAAAAAAACTACGTTGAAAATATCTCAAAATCAATGTCAAAATTAAGTTTGAAAATTCAAAATTTGGCTTTTTCTTTGTCTGAATAGGCCATCCGATGGGAGCCCTAGTCAGTATATGCTGAGTTTGCATATCTGAAAAGAAAATCATTCTTTTTCTTGTTTGAATAGTAACAAAAAGATCTTTCTTTCCATGTACTTGTTTGTAAAGTGTCTCCATTGGCTTCTTGCAACATGAATAGCATGATGATAGGTGGTCAGCCTCTTTTCATTTCTCTTGTAGTCCTGTTGAGCTCACAATGCTCTTTTTTTGTGTTCTTTGGCATTGATTTTAATATTTTCTTGAGGTCACAATGCTCATCATTTTCTCCTCCCAGGTCATGGAGCTACTATTATTTGGTGAAGATCGAATGGTGGCAAAGATAGGACAACAATGCATGCAGTTACCATCTTCATTTCTTAAATTTATGGACAAATCAGATTTTGGGACCTGGGAACTTAGTTTGTGGTTGTACTCAATGTTCTAGGTGTTGATGTCCTTTGCTTCCGATTTTATTTTACCTTACTGTGGTGATGTATAAGAAAAACTTCTCAGTGGGCTCTTTGCTAAACACTAAAATTTAAATGCTTGTAATATTGTTTGGAGGGCACAGATTGACTTACCACATGTGAATTTGTCAACTGATACAATGCATAGCAGTGTTAATTATCGTTTTAAAAACTTGGCAGTATTTTTATTTTCTTTATTTAATGAACTGTTTTCTTAATTTTGGTTTTCTTCTATATATGCCATTGTAGAAATTAGTTATCAGCTTTTCTTTTTGAAATTTCGGATTATTTTGTGTGATTTCGTAGTTTGATTCTATTTCTAAGTTGAGATGTGCTATCTATGCTCGTTTTTGCTCAGTTTTTATTCAAAGAGATGCGTTTAACCTGCTTTTTCCCCTGTTTTCCCCAGCCGAATAGCATGGGAGTTTAACACCCAACGTGGAAGTGGATTGGGTGGTGGGTGGGGATCCACCTATACCTGGCCAAATGGGCCGTGCCAAGCCGGGCCGGCCCAAGCACGACCGCACTGTAGAAGGCCCAGGCCCGGCACAGCACGCCGGCCTGTGGGCCGTGCCGGCACGGCCTGTTTACCCGTGCCGTGTCTGGGCTGACGCCATAGCCCGTGGGCCAGCACGACACGGCACGTTTACTGTAGAGGGCTGGCACGGCACGGCCCGCGAGCACGGCACGGCACGGGAGCGGCCTAGGGTAGGCACACCGCGCACGTGGCGCCAAGCGGCCGAGCCGCCGAGGGCAGCCGCGGGGCCAGGCGGCGGGAAGCGCACGTCGCCGCGTGGCGCGTGGCAAGCGGCGTCGCGACGTGTCGTTGGGGCTGGGAGGCTGGGTCGCTCTCGCTCTGACTGCCTCCGTCACTCCGTGCCTCGTTGGGAGCAGCCGAGACGGCGACAGGCGACTCAGCGAGATCCCGTACGGCGGCCGAACAGCTAGTCAAACGACGAATGCGAGAGTGCCACGTGTCCCCAACGGCTAGTGAGCTAATCCAACGACCGCTGTTTTTGAGAAGTAGCCGTTGGAGAGCAAAAAAATGGAAAAAAATTCGAAAAAAATATGAAATTTGTTTCTATAAATAGGACACCCACCGGAGCATTCTGAATCGTCCATACCTCCCATTTTGTGCTCTGTTGTGCTCTTTCGTGTGATAGATCGATTTTTTGATTTAGACAAAATTTGACAAAATTTTGTCTAAAATCAAAAATAGTTTGTGACTAAAAATAGTGCATACAAGAGGTGTAAAGCCAAGCAAAGGTGGTAAGAAAGAAGTACGTCATATATTCAGTTTTATGTATTATTTTATTTCATGTTATGCGAATAAATATTCTGAAATTTGTTTATGTTGTTTTAAATTTTCAGAATGGACGAATCGAACATTCCATCGTTCACGTTAGGTGATTTCGACCCTAACTACGTGTCGAGGTCATTCCCAACTGGTAAGTATGATGCCACCGGATCGGCTCCAACACCACCAGTTATGGAGCCACCGGCGGGTTCAGAAGCATCCGGCACTATGAGTGGGAGTGTATCGACGAACACCGGCTCAAAGAGATCAAGAACTTCCGGTGTTTGGCAACATTTCGATGAGGTGGCCATGACAGGCCCTGATGGAAGGCAGGTAACATTCGCGAGATGTAGAATATGCAAAAATAAGTTATCTGCGAAATCATCTGGTGGAACAGGACATTTGAAGCGGCATGCCGAGGCTTGTGCAAAGAAGCAAGGAATCCAACTACGACAGCAACAACTACTACTAAATCCTGATGGTACGGTACGTACGTGGGAGTATGATCCTATGGTAGCTCGAGAAAATCTTGCCCGTTTAATTGCTAGACAAGATTTACCCTTGAACTTTGGTGAGAGTCCTGCATTTGAAAATTACATAAAAAATTCTCATAATCCTAGGTTTCAAGCTGTTAGTAGACAAACCACAACCCGTGATTTGAAAAATGTCTATGACAAAGGTTATGAATCACTGAAGGAATTATTTAGTACATGCACCTTTTCTGTCAGTGTCACCTCAGACATATGGAGTAGTAGGGCTAAAGAGGATTACCTTAGTGTAGTTATACATTTCATTGATGATGATTGGCAAATGCAAAAAAGAGTTCTTGGCTTAAGGTTAATTGATGTTTCACATACTGGTGAAAATATAGCAGAGAGAATTCGAGAGGTTATTGATGAGTTTAACCTTGCAGATAAAATTTTTGCTGTAACAATGGATAATGCATCTGCAAATTCTAGGGCCATGGAAATTCTACAACCATTATTTTGTATTTATGCTCAATCATTTCTTCTGCATCAGCGTTGTGCATGCCATATCATTAATCTAATTGTTAAATGTGGGTTTAAGAGAGTTAATGTACACATCGACGCTGTTCGTCAAGCAATCACGTGGTTAACTGCTTCAAACCCACGGATTGCACAGTGGAAAAGGTATTGTTGTGCATCGGGTGAGCCCCCACGTAAGTTTTTAACCGATGCAGACCATCGGTGGAATGCCACTTATTTTATGTTAAAGGTTGTATTACCTTACAAGGATTTACTTACTGTTTTCCTTCAAACACGTAATGGCCCAAAAAACAGTGACGGCCAGCCAATACTGACTGATCATACCTGGCACATTGTTGAAAGGTTCAATCAATTTCTTGAAACGTTTCATGACTGTACTCTCTTCTGTTATCTCAAGTATATTATCCAACAGCTAATTTAATTTTGCATAATATTCTTGAAATTGCCACTTTGTTGAAAGAGTATGAAAATGATGACCTTTTAATGCCCGTTGTCTTTAATATGAAACAAAAATATCTTAAATATTGGAAAGACATCCCCATGTTGTATTCTTTTGCATTTATTCTTGATCCTAGGGGAAAATTACGGGGATTCCTCAATATTCTTTCACTTATTGGAGATATTATTAATGTTGATTATTCTACCTATTATGCTGATGTCAAAACTAAATTCTATGAGGTATTTCGAAAGTATGAATTAAAGTTTTAGTGAGATCGCTTGCAAAGACCCCCACCTGTCCTTGCAGCAGGTAAGAAAAAATTACAGTGGAGCAGAATTTGGGGCGGTTCATCTTCTAGCCATGGTGGTGGTACCAGTTCATCAGCAGCAAGTGGGGACGCTAGATCGCATGGTCCTGCCGAAGAGTTGTCCAACTATTTGGATAGTGATGCCATCAGGCATGAAACGTCAGACTTCAACGTACTCGGGTGGTGGAATGATCATAAGATGTCATATCCTGTGCTATCAAAACTAGCACGGGATGTGTTGACGGTGCCCGTATCTTCGGTATCCTCCGAATCAGCCTTCAGTCTATGCGGAAGAATTATCGAGGATAGGAGAACAAGTCTGAGCAGCGATCATGTGGAAATACTATTAAGCGTCAAAGACTGGGAACTTGCTGCAGAACATGCCCAATACACTGCTGACAACCAAGAATTGGCCGCACAGTTCGAAAACCTTTATTTAGATGACGAACAATTAGGGTAGCTAGTTTATATTTTTTAAGTATTGACCTGTTGGCTGTACTCTTTTCTTTGTCATGGTTTTCTCAAATATGAGTTTTTACATGACAAAGTTTTTAACGAGGCAGCATGTATCATGTAAACATCAATAAAGGTCATTACTCTTTTTCCCCATATTTTTCTAATATTTTTCTAAGTCTAATTATTTTTCTATTTTTCTCCAACTATCTATTAATTTTCTCTTAGCTTAGTTAACTTTCGGACCTTTCTCTTTGATTTGAATTGTTCCACTGACAGAGTGACAGGCGATAGACACACGGACAGAGGCAAGTCACTGAGTCAGCATTCAGCAAGTCCAGCGCCACGTGTCGCCCTTCGGCCGGCCGGTCCCACGGCCCCGGCCGCTCGCTCCCGCGTGCCGCGTCCAAATTTTCATCCGCGCGCGCCTTGTCGGCATTGTCACCTTGCCAGCTTGCCTGCAGCCGATCATGCCAACGGGCCGACCACGACCCATGGGCCATTGACGTGCCCGTGCCGGCATGGTACGGCACGACGTTCCCTCGGGCCGTGCTTGGGCCGGGGAGTAGGCACGTGGGCCGGCACGGCACGGCCCGCTACAGGAGTCGTGCCTAACGGGCCGTGCCCTAGCGGGCCGTGCCGCGGGCGTGCCCGTGCCGTGCTGGGCCGGGCCGCCCGTTTGGCTAGGTATAGATCCACCCAATCCTGGACTGGTGGTGTTTCCCCCGGGGAAATCCCTACACACGTGCCGAAGGAGGCCTTAGTGATCGTGGTAGTAACTTATGTTATGCGGTTTTAATTAGGAATAATGATACCTGGATCAGTATGATATCATGTATACGTATGGAGGAGAACCATTTTATGCTAAATGAAATGGCGAAACATTACCAGTAGCAGCTAGTAACATTTATTGAATATAATCTTTTACTTAAGCCATGTGTCGCGCAGTCTTTTTTGTCTGATGTGTTCAATCTATTTTGCGTGGTGCAACTACGCGCGGCTACAGCACTTCTAGTACTCCTACAATATATCCTATAGCAATAAGAAAAAAAATGCCCAATACATTCTTGTTAAAAAAAGGTAACGGCTTTGTGCCATTACAGGGGGGATTGAATCGAACTTTTAACATTTGAACCGATGAATGCCATACGCCCCTTCTTCCATCTAACAAACAACAACGATCTCCATGAACCCTGATGTTATATGTGGCTGTATACAACCAGGTTGTTGTAGAGGCCGGATTTTTCCCATTATCAATGTGGTACGATGATGTGTTTAGCCCGTAGCAACGCTATTTCGATGATGTGTTTAGCCCGTAGCAACGCTACTTACCTGGAACCACTCTCTTTGATTTATGACATGATCCATGTTGAATTACCGATGTATTTGGGGGGGGGGGGGATGAAAAACGGTCGGAAACGGTAGCATCTCTTCGGAAACGATGCTCCGAAACGGTAGCATCTCTTCGGAAACGATGCTCGATCTTATCATTTAGACTACTCAATGTCGACATTAATACGATACAGAAACAAATTAGAAAAAAAACAAAATTTTTAAATAGCCAAAAATACAAAAATAGCACGGTCGGAAACGGCGCTAAGTCGATCGAGAATTTCCGAGACCGTTTTCACCCCCTATATTGGTACCATCAATTTACTAATTTCAAGCC